CGGCAACGTATACTTGAGCTTAGACCTGATTAGAGCGAGCCTCTCTAACACCAAGTGTCCCATACGCAAATATATTGCATGGTATCACGAACAAGGGGTTACTGGTCAAAGAACAATATAATAGGTGGCTGAAAGACGGAGTGATAGCAGTTAACTGTGAACCCGCTCCGGTCAACCCAGAATTGTTAATTATTGGTCGGTTCACTTCTATTGAGTTTTCGAAGGTATAAGTGTAGGGTTGTATATGACATCCAGAATATGTATGGTTCACATACCTTAGAAATGTATTGCATTATAATTCACTACTGCCGAAATTCAAACACTGAAACATTTTAATAGGTGATGTATTTCAGATCAACTTTTAGTTGTGAAAACGCGATAGGCTAATCCACCGTGGTTATTAAAACTACTGTAGGTTAAACTATGTATATATGCTGGACAATACCACAAAGTTTTGTTGTCCTTCAAGACATTCAGAGAGGTTGCTCGGTAAATTGATCTCTATGATAGAGTGTATGCGGATCTATGTGGATAGAGATGTAGATAATTTCTCCTGCTATGTGTAGGAAAACCAAGGTCTTATTTGAAAGATGTGAGGTGGAAGTATTTTATAGTCAGCAGTCCGGTGTTGGATTAGGTTACTGTCGTATTTACTAATGACAGTTCCCTGAATGCAGAAATCTATCATTCACATCTGTTTCGTCTCTAAAGTATCATATGAGCCGACTTCTACTGGTCCAATATTCATAAAAAAACCTCAGTCGATGCTACAGACGCACCTGCATCATTTATAGATACGACGTCAACACAACAGATACACGGATGTATACGTCCCCAGTTAAGAGAATTGTTGAACTAGGACAAAAAGCCGAACACAGCACTCAAGTTACTCAGAGACCTCTACGGTTAAAAAAAATTTCGTACGATTATTGACCCATGCGATAGATTTGAACAGAGTGCTCAGCGGACGAATGCATTTGGAGACTTCACTCGTGTGATATATTATCCTTTACATACATTGCCAAATTCGCCCCACCAGTCGCCGAACACACATTGCAGAACATGTATTTATTCGACCGACTGTCTAAGTTGTGCAACATGAGCAACCTTAGAACTGCACACAAACATCTTGATGCTCTACGTATACTAAAACACCTTGTTGGCCATAAACCTCTCATTCCGTATGCATACGTTGACAAATAGTTCAAGCATTTGATCTACAAACTTTTCACAAAAGAACATTCCGGCCACTGGTGAACACCGAATCCACAGTACTGACAAATGCCGTACATCGTCTAGCGCATTTGCGTTTTCAGCCCATATGACGCACCTTGACATTGGATGTGCATTGAATCAGCCCGCATCCCTTCCAAAGCACTCATAGCGCACCAAGATGCACTGAAAAATATTTGTGTATCTTAAGACCTCTAGGAATATCATATAATTTTATGCACTTCCTGTTTCCTCTTCCTCCCGGTCATAGGCTGCCGAAATATCATTTTAAATCCTGGGTTTAGATATTAGATTATAGTGACCTGATTCGACAAATATATAAGTTTCAACTATATCTATATGCATGCACCGTGTCTACCAAAAGGTGTCACGACTCCCGACTGACCGTAGCGCAAGGCGGTTGAAATACAAAGTGTGGCACTGAAATATTTCTGAGCGAGGGCTGTTGCCTTTTAGTGGACAGCATGTTTTAAATGCTGCGGTGTCAGATTAATTCCGAAGATTTTTCCCTCGAGTACGGTATGGGTTATTAAAGTAGGACTTGTCCCAAAGAAGGCTTCGGACTCTTGAAGACCTTGTTTCCCTCCTTGTGTTGGTCATATCTTTTTGGAGTTACCTTGTACAATACTCACGAACCCATTTTACTCTGAACGTTGGATATACACAAGAATCATGTAAACAAGTTAATTTGATCGTAGCGGCGTGCGAAATAGACTACTAGGTTAGAACAACACTGCATCTACTACTTTGTCCTCTGAACGATAAATGTAAATGAAGTTCTTATTTTGAGAGATCGCTCATTATCATAGAAAATATATTCATAGACATCCAGACCCTCCGCCGAACTCTGATAAATATCTTCGTATTGCGCGAAGAGTCATAGCTTTCTTAATGTACTGTATATAAAATTGTACGCAAACACAATGTATACATATGCGATACTACTTTGTCGAACTTGCGGCTGTATAAGACCCTTAAGAGTCAAGTGGAAACGTTGAATCGTATAGTCTGGCAGCTACGGCACCTTCGGAGTACATCGGTGAGCATCTGCCCAGTTTTTCAAAAGTTGTCTTTAATAATTCATAGACCACGCTTTGCAAGCAAATCTGCATATTTTGTTCGCATCATCTAAATCCACCACCTTGATTATTCTATTCCGGAGGGGTTCGTGCATGAATTGGCCGCGATGAGAATCGGGAAAGCAATGTACAGTTTATTGAAATCTACATTAGCTTACTCAACTTGCGCTTCAGATACTTCTCTCGTGCTGATGCAACTTTGCCGTCATCGTTGCGTCTGGTATTCAGATTATAGAAAAACACTTGACGTTAACAGCAGGACGATGCAAAATATGGTCTCAAATAGCAGATAGGAAATTTACAACAAACAACAGTGCGATAATATACGAATTCCATCTCGTTGGCGGGTAATGCTGACAAAACAACGGGGCATGGCACGCTTTGATGTCGATAAAGGAAAAAAAAGACTTATCAGCCGTATCTCAATATAGATACGTTCGACCGAGAATAATACGTAAACCGCTTAGAAAACCCTAATATTTCGAATACGACGTTGCATGCATAACAATTAGTTTTGTGTTTTACCTCTTGACACTGGCGGAGGTCTGCCGGGAGCCTGGGCTGTCGGCTGTGTAGAAAGACACATATTACAAAGGCTTGGCGTATAGCAGAAGAGCAACACATGTATATATTGCCACGCGTAATAGTATTTAAGGATGTTTTATACGTCAACTAATGTGTATGACATATATTGTGAACCAAGCTACCAACTACAAACAGAACTGCAAGTTAAGATGAGATCGTAGATTCGATTTCAGATGCAGTGCTATACTGAATCGGCCGACCCAGCCTTTTGCGGACAGCCCCGTAGGAGAAGAATTAAAATATGTTCCTAAACTTTATACTCATAGAGCGATCAAGTACGAGAAGTAAGGAACTTTGGCAAGCGGGGCATAGCTTGGCTTCGAATGATCGAGTGCTCAAACAATATAGATATATATATA